CCATTTCAAGAATAAAAAACGAAATCATTCATACGCAGTGTTGACATCGAGCAGGCAATTCAATAAATGTTCTTGACTAATTGGTAACTTAGTAATTTTTATAATATGGGTCATTGGGTGAAGGGGATGGGAAATACGGAACCATGTTTCTGTGCTTGATTCTATGTGTTTGGGTGAGGAATCAGGGCAGGAGAAAGTCTATTTCCAGGACCTCGAGCAGATATTTCTGGCCAGGCCTGCCACAGACTCGTTGTAGTCCAACAACCTCATTGTACAGATGGGTGAATTTCGAGGCCCAGGATAAAGAAAGGGATTTATACAGCTAAAGAAACTCATACAGCTAATTAGCGGGACAATGGAACTCAGTTCCTTCCTTTGCAAAAAGTACTCTAGGTGATTCAAACTGTCTCTCTTCTCTGCCACCAAATGCCTGCTATTAGGATTCCTATTTTTTTTTTCCAAAATGAGTTATGGCAAGAATGAACAGGAGAGGAGCTCTGGGCAAAGGCTTCCAAAAGGAATAGCAACACACTATGTCTGAACAGTCTAGAAGTAAAGGCATGGCCTTTGATGCCTTTGTATGCCTGGATTTGCCATGTGTCTGGACTGTCAGCAGGTAAGAATGCAGTTGAAGCCTTGTTGATGTTCGACACTGTTTTAGCGACATCTTCCAGCCCCAGCCCCTGTCTCAAGGTAATGGGAGAGCCAAGCAGTATTCCCCACCCCTTTCAGAAGGCCTTTCTCAAACTGACCTCAAATGGCTATGAGCAATCCGTTTCCCCCGAGTCCTAATCCCAAGACTGCCAGTGCCAATGCCTAGCAAGCAGACTGCCTCTCTCCCGAATTAGTTACCCTTGGCTCTCCCCAAAGGGAGACCATTTGCTCTTGAACAGGCAGTTGCTGACCGATGACTCTGTGTGGCATGAGGCGAGGATGTGAGGATACAGAGTTGACTTGTGGCTGCCCTCAATGAGCTCCCAGTCAAGTACGTGAAGCAGACAGTAAGCAATTTCACAGATCAGCCCAACATAAGTACTTACAATACATCAGGCACAATGCCACGTCCTTTGGATGCGAGGATGGACAAGACCAAATCCAGCCCTCTGCACCTCAGAGACAAACAGGAAAACAATGACAATAACAGTGTTGAACCGCCGTGAAAGAGCTCAGCTCAGGAGCTGGGGGGAAGGAAGTCTGAAGAGAGGGATCTAAAGGGAGTGTTGTTCACAAAACCACCGTGGCACTGAGAAAATTCTGGGAAACCACCAATTGGACTGAGGCAACAAAGGCCTCAAAATGAAAGGCTTAACACTTTGTCTTAAGTGTTGTCTTAAGAGCTGCAAGCTATCTGGCCCCAAGCCAGCTTCTTAGAACTCCAGGCAAGGACAAGGAACTTCAAGGGGAAGGTTTTGCCGATACTAAATTGCAGGCACAATTGTGACGCAGGCTGAAATCTGTCCTTCTGGAGCCTCCTCCAAAGTTCTTCTCCAGTTGTGATTTCTCCCTGCCTGAAAAGACCTGCCCCAGAAAGAGTCCCAAACTAATTCATTCTGATAGGTGAACAACTGGTAAAGGCTGTGTCTCCCAGACCTGCCTGGGGATAAACCAGTCACCTGGTGTCACTCCTGACGGCACTGTTGACCTTGTTTTTCTCCTGGTGTAATACTGCGAGTTATAATAAGAAATATATATTTGGTCTACCTCCCCAATTCTGGCACAAAGCTCCTAAAACTCTCGGAATTTCCTAGGTGATGAGAGTGATAAAGCTGTCTTGATACTTATCAACCCCCCTTCAACCACCCATGAGCTTATGTTAATGAAGTAATTTTTGGAAAGCACTAAGGACAGGGGAACCAACCACGTGACTGGAAGGTTGACCCTTTCAGTCCCACCCTGCTGACCTCTCCGGATGGGAGAGGGGCTGGAGGTTGAATCAATCACCAATGGCCAGCGAGCCAATGATTTAATCAACCATGCCTGTGCAATGAAGCCTCCACAAACCCCCACAAGGACAGTGTTCTGAGGGCATCCAGGTTGGTGAACTGGAACCCTTCCACATGTCACCATGCTGGGCCCCAAACTCCACAGGTACAGATGCTACTTTGTGCAGGACCTCACCTTAAGTATCCTCTCATAGCCTCTGTAAGACACTGGTAATCTAGTAAACTGGTTTCCTGAGTCCTGTGAGCTGCTCCAGCGAATCAACTGAACCCAAGGAGGGGGTCCCAGGAACCTCTGACTTATTGCCAGTTAGTAAGAAGTATAGGTAACAACCTGGACGTGCCACTGGCATCTGAAGTGGAGGGCAGTCTTGTGGGACCGAGCCCTTATCCTGTGGGATCTGCCGCTGTCCCCAGGTGGAGAGTGTTACCCTTAGTAAATAAAAATACCCATTATGTTGCTAACAAAAAGTGGGCTTATTTAGGAACAGCAGAGAATTGCAACCCGGGACAAGCAAGCCACGACAAAAACCATAGGCAAGCAAGTCTAAGGAACAAAGCCAATGAAGGCTCTTTTATAGAGGCAAGGGGGGGGGGGGCAGTTGGGAGGGCGGTTGTAAAGAAGAAGCCCATTGGAGTAAACTAGGAGTTCCAAGTACAGTGGCTTTTCATTGGCTGTGTTGTAACAGTCTCTCATTGGCTGGGCTGTTGCCGGGGGAGGAGGAAGCCTTCCTTCCTCTGGCCCGGATAGTAAAGTAGTAGCCACAGTGCAAGGTCCACCTCTTCACGTTGGATCCACAATTGACCAACAGTGGTAGGGTGCGAGAGCTGCCCCTGCCAAACCTCCCGACTCCATCTAAGTGAGGTTTTCCTTTAATGATTTTCACGATAGTGTCAGAATTGAGATGAACTGTAGGACACCCAGCTGGTGTCAGAGAATTGCTTTGGTGGTGTTGAAAAAAAAACCCACTTTAGAATTGTTGGGGCAGAATTTTACCCGGGGATTTTTATTGAGTAGATCTGGGGTAGGTTCTGGGAATGTTTTTAACAAGGGCTCCAGGTGATGAATCTTCTTCCCTTCAGGCAAATTGTGGAAACCATGAAGTAAAGCATTATCCTCAGGAATTTGCAATGAAGGCTTTGATTCCTAATGTGGGATCTCAAACACACCTACCTAAGTAGTAGAGTGTAAAGGTTTTTAATAATAAAACAGAACTTACATTTGAAGAGCATCCTATAGTTACATTATCACACCTGCTATAAATGTTACCACATTAGAACCTCCTAAGAGCCTAGTAAACTGGGTAGGCCAGGGATTCTTGTCCCCATTTTAGGGATGAGGAAACCCGCCAAAGTGTAGCTTGTAATATAATTAGAGCAAAAACAAATACGCATTAAGTGATGCAAGAACAACACAAAGCCAGATGCCTAACTTTGCAACAGCATGTTTTATAACACGGTATTCAAAGTCCGAAGGGATATAGAGCCCAAGGGTAGCCTGAAGCAAATAGGAATCCAAAGCCTCCCAGAGGGGGAGAGAGTTCTACATCTGGAAACTGTTATTTTCTATGTCACCATGAAATTTGTCTACACTGAATTCTCATGTGAACTGTGCCAGTTACATTTTCCACAACCACATATTATACCACAAACCAGTCTGACCTGCAAGGGAAGTACAAGCTTTGGGCCTTTTGCAATTGCAATGCTCTGCTGTCTAACCAGTTTGTTTTTGCAGAATGACATGTGGCTGGGTCAAGATGAAGACGTCCTAGTGAAGCCTTGCCTAGGCTCCCTTCTGGGCCTACTTTGGGCTTCAGATACAGTGGAGTCGAAGGATATCATTTCATCCAATTGTACTGATGTCTTTTCTGGATTAGGCATTGTGCCGGCAGCTGTGGGTCACTCTGAGGAATTCATAGTCTAGGTAGGAGAGAAAGGAAGACATAATACACAACCAGTGATTGCCTAAGTCAGGAAGAATTGCAAAGCAGAATAAGCAACGTTCTACGGTGATGGAGCAGGAATCAATAGTTCTCATGGAAGATCCTGGAAGGCTTATTGGAGGAAGTGGCATTTCTGCCGGGCCTTGAAAGAGAGGTAGGCATTCCAAAGAGAGAGAAGGGAATCCAGAAGCAAAGGCATCAGAACTTGTGGCAGCTGTACCTTGCTTATCCTCTCTGAACGTCATTAACATTTAATTCCGAGTGTTCCATCTTTAACGATATTTCAAGGGGCCTATGGACAGTACAGTGTGGCTTCCTTTCAAGGGGGAGTGTTTTGGGCAGGCAGTGCTGTCCCAGGACCCGCTGTCTTCCAGGGATGCCTAGTTTATTGGGTTAGAGCATTGTGTGCATCAGAAAAGGGTTACAGAAGTCCTTCTATACCACGCTGAAGGATTGTAGGGACTTGCGACACCTTGAAAGGTTGTTTTTTTTTTTTTTTTTTTTTAACATTGAAAGGTTTTAAGCGGATAAGTAACAGGTCACCTATACATCTTAGGTAAGATAAATCCCTTTGGTTGCAGTCTGGGAGATGGCGTGAGCCAAGGCAAGAGTGGAAGGAGAGACCCCAGCCGGGAGGCTACTGTAGAGCTCCAAAGCAAAAAGTCATGGGGGCTGCACGGAGCCCATAGCACTGAGGACAAAGTGGAGAAAGGCGGTCAATAAGACGTGTCTCAGAGGTAGAATCAATTAGCCTTGGGTACTCACGGGATGGATGGATATGTGTGTGTGTGTGTGTGTGTGTGTGTGTGTGTGTGTGTGTGTGTGTAGGGAAGAAGGGGGAGGGAATCAAGCGTGACTGCCCGACAAGTGCAAAGAGAGATGAGCTGACCCTCTGTAAGAGTCTCCGGTCTCCTCAAGGGGCGGCGGGAGGGGAGGGGAGGGAAGAGGAAGGACAGGTCCTAGGCAGCAGGAAGAAATCTGGAGCGCGGATTAGGAAGAAACTCAGAAACTCCGGAGGCCAGGTGGCAGTAAGGAGGCTCCGCCCCCGGCTCCGGTCCCGCCCCCGGCTCCACCTCTTCTCCCTCTTCCCACCCACCCCCAACCGCAGCTCATCCTCGAGGGCGGAGAGAGGTGGCATTTGAGTCCTCCGGTATCCCAGCAGGCAGTGCAGCTTAGAGACGCTGACAAAGGACCGGAGGAGCAGTCGCAGCTGCTTTCCGAGGAGCCGGTGTTGCCGAGGTGAGTCCCCCCCCCCCCGTCCCGTCACCCACTTCCTCCGACTTCGGGAAGACGTGGAAGTTACGTTGGCGCGAGACCCCGCGCAAAGAATGAGCCGTACCCAACCCCCGGGCTTGGCTCTGCGACTGACGGCGGGGCTCCGCGGCGCCGGGATGCGGGTGGGAGGTGGGAGCGGGCAGATGGAGTCCTTTCTGCCCCTTCTCTGACTGTCAGCTGCCCGGCCGCCCGCGGATCCCGGCTCCGGGGTCGGGCCGGCCCGTGTGTGCCCTTTTCGTGCCTGGGCGGAGGCAGCAGGCTCGGGATCCTCCCGGTGCCTGCCCGGCAGAGTTCGGTTGCCCCGGGGATGCGACTCCAGGGACAACTCTTTGGCGGATGTTTCGAGGAGGGCTGCGGGAGGGAGGTTGACTCCCCATTCGGGGTGACACCGACCTCGCCCTAACTCCTCCTTCCCCCCCACCCAGTCGGTCCCCCCCGGCGAGCAACTGGAAGGAAATCGATGGGGCCGGAGCGAGGCGTCCCGGGATGGCCGGAGGGAGGTGAAAGTGGGGTGGCGAGGCAGGGAGGGAGAGCGAACGCCTTCGTGGAATAGTGACGGGGGGCGGTAGTGGAAGGGGTACGTGGCCTGCATCCGTCCCCTTTCCTGGACCTCCGCACGGATCCTGATGGTTGCACCAGCTGCTCGGCTGTAAACAGGCTCACATGACCGGTTTCACATGGAGCCGGCCGGTGTGGGGACGAAGGCTGGAAAGGCTGGGCCCCAGTCAGGTGGAGCTGAAGTCCTAGAACGGACCGTTTGATACTCCCTCTACTGCCCTCCAGCCCTTAATCAATGTTCTGCGGTTTCGAAGTAACTGACATCTGCCCTCTCCGGACTGAAGTTGCATTTCTGCCCGAGTTGAGTCTAAGAGACCTCACAGCGGGGAGCGAGAGGGCAAATAATAAAAACGGTCCCGATTGTTGACCTCTGAGGGGAATCAGAGATGGACGCAGACCTGGAAAATGGGATCCTTTGGATCTTGCCTAAAAAGCAGCCCTGTTCTATCGGAATGCATTGCGTTCTTAATGTGAATTCCAGACAGAAGGGGAGAAGTCTACTTTTTCAGCCAGGGCACACCTGGAATTTAATACATTCTTGATGATGAAAACCGTGTCCACATTTCCTTTAAGTGCTTGGAAATCTGCCTGTAAAATGCTATATACAGGATACTGACCAGGGAGTGAACACCAACTTTTAGATTACATACATATTTGATAGAAAGCAGTGGGAAGTTTGGAAAACAGGAAACGGGGCCAAAATGTGCCTTTCAAGTTGTTCACGTCTACATACCCAAACGGCATACAAGATCAAACTAGTTTCTGAAGCATTTCTAGAGCTGTCAAAAATACGAGGTTTACTCAAATACCAGGATGTTGGAAAATCTGGAGTTTCTCAAGTCTGTAAGGGGTAGTGGTGATAGATTCCCTTTACATGTAATATGTAATTGGATGTAATGGACAACATTCAGTGCAAAGTTACCCCTTGGTAGGCAAAGACAGAAAACGGAACAGGTAGCTTATAAAAGAATGCATGTTTCTCTCCTTGAATTGTTCATGCACATTTTCTTCCCCAATTTTTAATTTTTTTCTCCTGAAGTTTTGACATTTAACTCTAGTTTCTGAAAACGAGAAACTACAAGAAAAGCTTCCCCATCCTCTAATAGCCCAATAAAGTAAGTAATTTGCTACTCTTCGTTTTCTGTTTTTAAAATGTTTAAGATGGAAAATAGAGGAATTTTATTTATTTATTTAAAAAAATTTTTTTTTCAACTTTTATTTATTTTTGGGACAGAGAGAGACAGAGCATGATCGGGCGAGGGGCAGAGAGAGAGGGAGACACAGAATCGGAAACAGGCTCCAGGCTCTGAGCCACGCCTAGCCCGGACTCAAAGGCTCAAACTCACGGGCCAGATCGTGACCTGGCTGAAGTCGGACGCTTAACCGACTGCGCCACCCAGGCGCCCCAAGGAATTTTAAATGTTGCCTAAAATTTACACGAACCGATTATCCATCCGTGTTGCTCTGAATCTTGTTTTGCCACCTTGTAGTATTCTGGAAAAGCTTGCCCTACAATAAACAGATGAAGTGATTTGCTCTTTGAGGCCCTCTGTTTCCTCATCTATAGTATGAAAGTTTTGTTTTAATCTCCAGGGTGCCTGATTGCTCTCAACTTCCATAAAACAGTGCAGTTTTTGATCGGGAACTATTCTTGGACAAAATAAGTTGGTCAAATAAGCAGTTTTTGATCGGGAACTATTCTTGGACAAAATAAGTTGGTCAAATAAGCCAAGATATTGATATCAGCTGGAAAACATACGGTACATAATGAGAGGTATCCAGAGTCCTAGTAGAAATAGGAATTGTGCTCAAATTCTCATTAGGTAAATTAGCCATGTGGGTTGTCCCTCTCACCTCTCGATCAGGAAATGGAAGATTTAGCCTCAGCTAAATCCTGCCTCCAAAGTTAGAAATAACAGGTACACCCGACTTTCTTGACCTTCCGGGCATAGTACAAAGTGATTCTTTCATTCATTCCAGCTTCTTCCTGAATTAAGTGGACTGTGTGATCAGTGATGAAGTTAGGATGAAAAGAAGGCTCTAGCAGGGTCTCACCTCGTCCGTGCCTTGGTTGGTTCGATCACCGGAACCGATGCCTACTTTCAGCTTTTCAGCGCTTGAAATTTAATTTTGCCAGCACATCCAGAAATTGTCAGTCAGTCTCAAGGATTGGATTCACACTAACCAAACTCACAAGAGATTTTTATGTTACTATGAATGCCAGTTTACTGACTTCCAGTGAGAAGTCAAACTGCCCAGCTGACCGGAAGACGCGTGTGGAAGCCAGGGCACCGTTTGTTTTTGCCACTGGAAACACAGACATTGCGCTCCACCTCCCCTTTTGCTAGGGACCGTGTGGAACACTTCTTTCAGGAAACGCCTAGTGAGTGGTTGATACCTCCCGCAAGGCTGCAGCTTTTATCTAAAAACCATTTCAGTCACACCTTTGTATGGATATATCCTCGGCACCTGATTGAATCTGGGCCACCCGTAAAAGATCTCTAAACTCTGTTTCCTCTCCATTCCTACTGCCTTCATCTGGGCCCTTGTCTCTTCATGTCACATTCAAGCGTTGTTTGTATTTTCAAGCGTTGTTTGTATTTTCCTGTAACTACTCCGGAGTTGGGAGCTGTGCTTGCCCCGGCGGCGGCAACCGGTGCTCCTGCTTGAGATCTTACCCAGGCAGTTCTCTGCTCCAAACCCGTCAGAGCACCTTCTCATCGCCTGCAGCGTGGTTCTCGAAGCGCGGCCTGCGTCAGAATCATCCGGAGGGCTTGTGAAAGCGCAGGTGACCGGGCCCCACCTCCAGAGCTTCTGGGTCAGTAGGTCTAGCTTGGGACCCAAGAATTTGCCTTGTTAACGAGATCCCGGGTGAAGCTGCTGCCGGTCCAGTACCACATGTTGACAGCCACGGGCATCCAGGATCAAGTCTACACCTCCGAACGTGGCTTACAGGATTTTTCACCATCCCTCGCCACTCCCCCATACATGCTATTTTTTAACCACACGCAGTGCCAGAGCTTCATCTTAAGAGTCCCTTTCGTGCTTCGACACATGTTCTTCCGGGAACTCACCCCCCTCTCCACTCCCACTGCAAACTCCTATTTAAGGCACACCGTCACTTTCTTTAGGCCCCTAGAGCTTTTTAATCCACCGGCATTTTAACGCGGTCACATGATACCCTAATTACTATGTATATCTGGTTTTTGTGCTAGACGGAGTTTTTCGAGGGCGGAGACCATGTTTCCATCCTTGCTCCACCTTCCCTAGCACAGTGCCTAGCGTATAGTAAGTGCTCAGTTAATGGTCCTTGAATGACTTTGTGACTCTAAAACGTTGGAGAGTGCCGTAGGTAGCAACATAGGTATTTCATATAACGAAGTAATTAATGTGGATTAATAGGGATTTCGCTTTGAGAATTGCACATACATCTCGAAATAACGGAAGATCTTGAGATCTTGTAAAACAAAGGTTGGAAATAACTAGTTTAAGAAAAATGTGTTTCTTTAAAAAAATGTGTATTCATTTTCGAGAGAGCGTGAGCAGGGGAGGGGCAGGGGTGGGGGGACAGGGGATCTGAAGTGGGGTCTTGCCCGACAGCAGCGAGCCCCATGCGGGGCTTGAACTCGCGAACCACGAGACCATGACCTGAGCTGAAGTTGGATGCTCAACTGACTGAGCCACCCAGGCGCCCCTAAGAAAAATATTTTTAAAAAGATGCTACTGGAGGGCATCTTTATTTTTTTTTTTTAATCTTAAAACACACACTACTCAACTTTTACAGTATATAGACTGCTGTGAAGTCTTACTTCGGTAAGACCTCAAAGTACGTGGAAAACCTAGAAAATGTGTAAAAACCAAATAGCCTAATATTTGTACAATGAACCCTTTAACCTATAGTGAACAGCAGAACAGTGCCTGTGAAACACCTGACTTCAGGAATGTACCAGCCCTTAAAAATCCTGACAGACAGTACTGGAAATTTAAAGAGGAAGAGAGCCGAGTCGATGAAACTGCTCTTAACTGTTTAGTATTTAGCTGGCCACTGGCAGGCCTGCACCAAATATGGCAGAAGGAGATAGTTCCTGTGCCCAGATAAAAGGGAGCGGGCCCAGGGGTGGAGCCAGAACCCTGATCAGAGTAAACACGAGAGCCGGAGAGAGGGGGTCCGTAGCTGGTACACTGGAGCCAAGCAGACGGGTCACTTCACTTGTTTCTGGGGAAGTCTGCTTCAGGTTATCCTTAACCGTTTCAAACCTCAACCCACTTTCTGCACAAGAATCCCCAAGGGCCACTTACTCCATTTGATTTTCTCACAGCCTCCCGTGTCCCCCCAACAAGGGGGGGGGTGCAAATGACACTATGCCTTTAAAGTGGTTTCGGTCTGCAATCTCCATTTTGAGTCTGTAGTGGGCAAAGGTTTGGAAATTCCCACTTCTCTCCGAAGTCTTCTCTTTTCCTTCTGGTCAATTGAAAGGGAGGAAAACAGAAAAAAAAAAAAAAAATCACACTGTGGGGGGTGCCGGTCTCCCTGGACTGATAGTGGAGAGTGTGTGAGGACTTTATGTGTTTAGACTTTTGTGTGAGTGTGTGTGTGTGTGTGTGTGTGTGTGTGTGAGAGAGAGAGAGAGAGAGAGAGAGAGAGACGGAGGGAGAGAGAGAGTAGTTTACAAACTGGTCACAAGGTGGTGTACAGGCATCGGATTTTCTTTCAGATTTTCGTTCATGGTCGTATCCCTGTGCCTTTGTACAGAGGAAAAGGACAAGGCCGTTCCTGCATCGCCAGCTGCCAGCTGCACTGTCTCCCCGTAAGGCTGGGGCTCTTCGGGAACCTAGGCGGCCACTGAGGAGCCAGGGCTGATGACAAGGGAGAGGAGCAGGAGAGCGGGCGGGAGGTGTGGGGAGAGACAGCTGGGAGCGCGTGTTCTCTGTTCTCTCACCTGAACCCCTGGCAAGCAGCCACCATAGATTTACTGCTCCCTTAACTGGGATCCTTTCCCTGTCTTTTATGGACAAAGTGTGCTCAGCTGTGAGGTACATGAATGTTCCTTGATGGGGGAGACTGTTATCAGTAGACGCCCGTAGGCAAAGCTGCTAAGTGCCCGAGGTTGGGTCCATGTAGGATGCCCCCAAACCCAAGCCGACAAAAAACCCACAGAAACACAATATGGCATTATGCTTGAAGTCTGGGCCGTCAGAAGTAATCCACACAAAGCCAATGTCAGGATATGCCACGACTACAGTAAGTACAGTAAAAGATCACGTGACAAAATCAGTGAGCTCTGTATAGATCAGGGACGTAGAGGGGAGACCACAAAGGGGAAATCTGAAGTAGGCTTTGAAGAATGCAGAACATTTTGGTGTCCAGAGAGGAAGAATAAAATAAACCTTGGGTACCCATGCCCTAGTGAATAGCTACTGACAGCTGTAACTGTTCTTTCATAACCCGGAAAAGAAAGCGTGCTCAACTTAGTAAGTGAAATCGGCTCTCGGTTTCTTTGTAAAACTGAAAAGGAAACACACACACATCAGGACTTGAATTTGGGATCCTCCTTTTGAGAGCTCTTCTCTCCTGGAAAAGCAGGGAGATTTTGTAGAGATGAGGGCACCTGTGACAGTGAGCGCACCGGAGGCAGGACTTTGGGAATGAGACCCAGAGGAGATGGTTACTGTACAGGGAAGTGTGGGTCTGAGGACCAGAGATTCGCCACCAGTACCCTGTGCAACCTCGGGTAAGTCCCTTAACTCTCCTGGGCGCGCTCTCCTCTTGGGTCAAATGAGAAGGGCTGAGAGCTGACATTCTTTGACTTGGTGTGTCTTTGATTTGGGGAAAGCGACCTCCTCAACCGATCTGTAGCGAGGCTTTACCGGCTTTAGTATATCATCTCTCCCCAGAATTTTTGCACTTTACCATTTTGCGATATGGACAGAAGCAAAGAGAAAGCGTTAGTCTCTGGAAAACCATCAGTTAGAGGCAGGTGTTAGGCTTCATTATGTTTGTTGGCAAAGTCTCTAACGTTGCCCTTGGTGACCTGGTGCTAATTCCTCTCCGGTTTCCATTGGTTGGAGTTCGGGAGGCAATTTATATCTTAGCCAAGGTACGTGCGAAATGGGAACGGGGCTACAAAAAAGAAATAATAAAGTGCTAAAGCCAACGAAACACTTCTTTTCTTTAATGGTGACTGGGGGATAGACAGCCTATTCATAATTCATGGGAAAAGGTGTACGTATCCAACTCGTAGAGAGAAAGCTTCGAAATGAGAAGGATAAGAATTCTGAGCCATTATGGAGAGCTAGCAAAACTTGCACTCCGACGTATGCCAGTGAACCTCCCCCTAGGGTTAGAAGCAAGAGTTTAGTGCTTGTTCTGTGTGGTTAACTCTGACTTCCCAGTCAGATTTATAAAGCGTGTCCTACTCCTGTGTAACAGAACGTTGCACGTTTTCCTCAGGTTGCCAGCCATCTTAAACCTTTGTTTTTCTCACTGTGATGTGTTTCTGTTGCATATAAAATCATTCCAGGGGCGCCTGGATGGCTCAGTCGGTTGAGCGTCCGACTTCGGCTCAGGTCATGACCTCGCGGTCCGTGAGTTCGAGCCCCGCATCGGGCGCTGTGCTGCTGACTCGGAGCCTGGAGTCTGTTTCAGATTCTGTGTCTCCCTCTCTCTCTGCCCCTCCCCCGCTCATGCTCTGTCTCTCTCTGTCAAAAAATAAACATCAAAAAAAATTAAAAAAAATTATTTTAAAGAATTGCAGTCGTTGTATTTAACAGTTGAGGGCTTTCAGCGTTATTAAAGGATCATAAATTGGAAAATGCAGTTAACGGGGATTTGTCACACATTGTTTCTAAATTCCTTCTTGAGTTTCAACACTGGCACCTTTTCCGAATTAGGCCCTGGTAGAGTGGTTGTTTAATTCGAGTTTTAATTTAATTTAATATAACTAAATCTAATTTTCTGTCATTTATTTTTTATTTTAGGGAGAGAGTGAGCACACTCAGGGCGGAGGGAGGAAGGGACCGAGAGAGAGAGAGAGACAGAGAGACAGAGAGAGGCAGAGAGAGAGAGAGACCGAGAGAAGGAGATGAGAATGAATGACTCTCAGGCAGGTTCCATGCTCAGTGCAGAGCCTGATGTGGGGGCTCAGTCCCGCAACCCTGGGATCGTGACCTGAGCTGAAATCAAGAGTCGGATGCTTAACCGACTGAGCCACCCAGGCGCCCCCTCAAATTTTTGTTTTAAACTTTTGAATAGGTATTCAAGGGTTCAGAATTCAAAAGGTACAAAAAGTCATCCAGAGAAAACTTCCCCTCCAACCCTGTCCCCAGCCGCTCAGTTTGTCTCTCCAGGGGCCGCCCTGGCTATCCTTCCACAGATACTTGACCCATGGCCAGGAAATGTCCCTCTACCACACAAGCGGCAGCATACTCTATACTCTGCATCGTGCCTTGCTTTCCCCACCTAACACTACCCTTGAAGATCAGTCCATATCCACGCTACACAAAGAGCTTTCTCCTCTTTTTTTAAAAAGTTTTTTTAATGTTTATTTATTTTTGAGAGACAGAGCGCGAGCAGGGGAGGGGCAGAGAGAGAGGGAGACGCAGAATCCGAAGCGGGCTCCAGGCTCTGAGCTGTCAGCACAGAACCTGACGTGGGGCTCGATCGAACTCAGGGACCGTGAGATCACGACCTGAGCCGACGTTGGACACTTAACCGCCTGAGCCACCCAGGCGCCCCAAGAGCTGCCTCTTCTCAACAGACGCCTCGTATCCCAATGATTGGCTGTATCATACTTTATTTTATGAATCCCCTATTAATGGACAGTTGGGCTGTTTCCAGTCTTTTACTATTGACGACAGCTAGCCCTTACTGAGTGTTGGGCTTTGTTCTGTGTGCTTCACATAAATTATTTAATCCTCAGTACTGAGGATTAAAAAACCTCCACGTGCATAATTTCACACAAGAGGAATATTTATGGTGGATAAATTCCTAGAAGCAGAGTCTCTAGCACCAAGGACATGTGCGTTCATTTTTTACCAGCTATAGTCAGTGAGCCAGTTTATAGCCCTGTCAGCAATGTTAAGAGCGTGCCTGGTTGCTTCCACCATGTGCTATCAAACTTTTTAAAAAATATTTTTTTAATGTTTATTTATTTATTTTGAAAGAAAGAGCGAGAGAGCATGTACGCACGAGCAGGGGAGGGGCAGAGAGAGGGAGAGAGGATCCCAAGCAGG